TTGTAGTCGAGGTCACCAATAAAGGATAATAAATGGTATAAATTTATCCTTTTATATAATTTTAATTTATAGATAGTTTATTTTTGTTTTTGTCAATAACGAATAATAACAATACGTGCTGATAATCGCAGTAAGCAAGGAATAACTAACGGAAATGTTAGAAGGAAAAGTTAAACGACTACAGCCTTAAAAATTAATCAAAAACTAAGATAATGATAAAAGACTGGTAATTCGAAAACAACGATATTAGGAATGTTGCGAACTATGAAGTTGTTGTTCAAATTGTATACCTAGGTGCTCTTATAACTAAGATTGGTGGCTGCAGCGAAGAAATAAAAAGGTGTCTAGCTATAACTGGCGCGGCCACAGTAAAACTAAGCAAGATTTGGAAAAACCAAGCTATTACTACAGATCATACAACAACAATCATCAAGATAATAGATCATACCTTAGCTACCTTGGACACCTAGCGGAAAAAATGGAGGACAAAAAAGCACGAGGAAGATCAACGATAAGATGAGTAGACAGGTTTAGGGAATTGACAGAACACTCGCTGCACCAGGCTATAGAGATGGCGCAGGACCAGGAGAAATGTAGAAGAACTGTAAACACCTAATTTCACCAAAATCCCCTCAGCAGGAAGAGTAAGAGGAAGATTCCACTCTTCAAGAACTTACTGTGCAAGGGTAAAACGTAGGTTAGCCCAAGATATTTTTGTAGCTAAATAGCTCAATATATATTTGATGGATGTATCATATATTAAGGAAGACTAAAGGTAGACATAACTGAGGAGGAGGAGGAGTGTCTTCAAGTTGCATGATTCAAAGTGCACTATTTACCTCTACTTAGTAACTTCATGAACCGTTGCAAAATGAAATAACGTTAATATTAGACATATTGCAGAATCCTTGGTTTACCATGAACACGGGAGGAAAGACTTTGGTTTTTCTTTCAAATGTAAGGAAAAGATTAGAAAGGACTACCACATTCAATTCAAAGTAGTTGTATGAACGGATAATATTTGACTTAGACAAATCTAACTACAGAATATGTGTAAAAGCTAGTTGAATCTTTACCGACGGTAAACGCCTGGACACCAGTAGAAGTTTCCTGGAGAATTGTAATTAATACAAAAACGAAGAACGTACCAAAAGCATAAGTTATTAATTGACATCCCTTTTGCACTCCTGGTGATGGCGGCAACAATTATAAAGACATTGCTAATTTTACCGGTTTCGGTGGTTAACCATCATCTGGAATCATGTGAAAAACCCTAATAAATTTTGTATGATATTAAGCTACACTAAACGATTAAAGATATATATTTTTTAATATATATTTGGTATAAATAGAATAATAGAAAAAAAATTTCAATAAATCAATTTGTGTATGTACATATTGAAATTCGATGATGTTGTGAAAAAACCACATCGTTACAAAATACAGTAGGGTGGTGCAAATAGTGGGCCCCTTACATTCGCAAGTTCTTTGAGCGAGCGTTTCATCAATCACTACAAATTTTAATATCACCGAAACGTATTACGCGGCAGTAAATTGCATACAATAGAGTGACAGCGTGTCGTTTTTCAGCCCTCCGGGGGTATAAACGCGGTCGGCCGCAGCGGCAAAAAGAATTATTTCGCGAAAATAATGGGAGAGGTCGCGTTATAGGTTTTTCTGGACAGGGAAATTTAATTAACAATTTATGGGAGCCGTCGCGGTCGCGAAAATAGAGAGAGCCGAACCACGTACAACAAAAGGTGAACCATCCCGTCCTTATTGCCGGAGCAGTTCCTACTTTTTCTATCCGAAGAATTTTAACAATGGAATTTAGACAGGTTGGAATAAAGAAATAAACCCGTATAAAACTCCGATGTCGTCTCGCTTCGTTTTTCCAGGACCGTATCTTATAAATTTTTAAATTAACCTTAACTTTTATATGAAATCATATAAATTGGCAAAAACGGAGTATATGATTTTGAGAATGATGTTGAAAGGACAGGTTGGTCCCTGAGGGTAACAGATATGTTAGCCAGTCGATTGCATGTGTGTAGGAAGAAATCAGTAAATCGGAAATTAGGGGTGAACATGTAGGGGTGGTTCCCTAGGTCCTATTTAGATTTTCAGCTAGCCCGGAAAGGAAGCGAGATAGTTTAAATTTGAAAGTACAAAGGGCGGAATGCGGCTATATTTTAAAATGTTATCGGGGCTTGCAAAAGCCCTGGGCTAAAGCTATCGCCGACACCGTCGGTGGTGTGCGTGCGTCACGTGTGCGACATGTACGGTCCGGGGAGAGGTGCTAGGACATTTCAGCGAGTTAGCCTCGCGCCGAAGGCGGCCGTCAAGAGGCGGAGCCTCAGCAGGCGCTCGAATCTGCAGGACGGGAGGCGCCAAATGTAGAACACTTGAGCGCCACCTTGTCGAGGATTCACATTTTTAGGACCGTTCCAACTCCTTCGACCGCCTCCTCGACTTCTCAACTCCTCCTCGCGGAACCAACGATTAAAACGACCCAGCTCCCAATCTCGATATTTCCAATTATGGCTTGATTCGTTTCAATTAGCCGGTAATTGTACGCTCGATGTTACGACTTCTGACAGCGGCTAAGTGGCCGGAAGGACATATTTCGGGATTTGATCTCGACTCGAATGTCACCATAAAAACCGGCGCCCCGAGGCCTCATATCCCCCGTTTACCAAACCCTAGCCTCCATAATCGAATAACATTAATGTTTTACTCGTTCACCCAATCTACGATCTGTCAGTAGTCGTACTCACTCAGTTACGCTACGTCATTCTTTTTTCTTTTCACATCACCAAATCTTTACGTTATTACCATTTCATTTTCACTAGTCATCCGATTTTATCAAAAATGATTTGTAGAAATAATTTGGTGTTAATTAATTATCGTACCCGACGTCATCATTGCAAGTATGCAACCAATATCACAATATTGGTATTGCAATACGCGATTTGCGTATTTGGTTGCATACTTGCAATGATGATTAATGATGATAATTAATTAACATCATCATACAGCGTATGATGCAGAAATAAAGTAACAGTCTTGGTTAAAACAAACCCTCGTCATCGTGTGGTGAATAAAAAATTCAAAGGTAGACATTACTCGGGGATCCTATTAGGTAATAATGGGTAGGAAAAGCACCCCATGACGCTCTTATGTGCTCGATTAAGGGTAGAAAGTATGCAAGGAGATTTTGAGTATGGGGGGAAGGGGATCTGTTTGTTTATAAGTTCACATATGTAGCGATCCTTCAAGCGCCCACGTTATCTCGACGGTGTCTGGGCAAATTGCCACATGCTTATGGCGGGGCAATCTCCGACAAAGGGCCTGATATTAGGGACATCCCCTCGAAAGCGCGCGGTATCGCTAACACTGTAAACTGCCGGCGAGATCCCACAATTTCCCCGAAAGAAATTGCCCCCGGTTTTTCCGGGCTACGCGACGCGACGTCGGTCGTCCCGCGATGTTCCCGGTAAATCTTATCAAAACCCAGAGGCGTGCCAATATAAAATAATTTATATACGCCCTCGGGACCGGGAAGGAAAGGATTATCAAAAACGCGATCGGTTGGATTTATGGTTTTTCATAATCTCGATAAGATTGGATTGGGTTCAGTTTGATATCGGTGAAGATCATATTTACGGGCAACCGCGATCAACGTGGACCAAGAGCTCAATCAAGCGGTACGTGCCGGTACGTGTTCGGCCCCTCAAGATATAAGTTAGCACCTTGATCCGGGGCCGCACCTGTTAGTTTTTGTAACTGTGTAATTTGTCAACTTGTAAACATGCCCATAAAACGGGGCGACGCTTTTATTGTTTTTCGTTTAAACGCTCCCTTTGTGCTGTCACCGCGGACGGCTGACGAAATATATTTCTTCGCGATTTCAAACGCAAAATTCAACAGCTCACCTTGAATTTTCATTTCAGGTAAACCAGAATCCGTAAATCTATCTAAAAAATAAATAAAATTCATTTAATGTTGATGAAAAGATAATGATAATTGGTAAAGATTGTTTATAGGCTTATTAATGTGAGGAGGTTTAAAAAGTTGAAGGGGGTCGAAAGAAGTCGAAAGGGGGAGTTTTGTCAGCCTTGTCTTTTTACGGTCAGAAATCTCCGTCGAGATCTCTGATGAAATTAAACGCCGAGTTTTAATGTTCATCGAGTGGAAAAAACTTCATATCGTCCGTGTGCCATCGGGGCCTGCTCAGGAGGGGTGCAGCCTCCCGAGTTGTCCTCGGCGCAAAGAAGGGAATTTAATTAAGTAAAATTACACTGCTTGTACTTTAATTATGTCAGTATCAGACTTTTTACGACGGATGTCGTCCCGGAGCCTAGCATCGGCTCGGAAGCACAGAAGAGGCCCCGGATCACCTCGGGTGAACGATCAAAAGGTGTCGCTCAAAGCAGTTCCCCCGCCGTCCAAGCACCCAACCCCCTGGCAGATTTCCCAGCATTCCGACCTTATGTTGGCGACAATCTAAAAGTTACACCGAGGAGGAGCAGACAATTAAAAAGATAAGTAAGGCAATGACTTAAAAATGCGATAGAGAAAGTTAGATAGCCCCGAGACTACCGCCCCTTTGGTACTCGCTAATGGAAATACCTGGCCCCGGATTTTGCACCCTTTGAAATATGATAATTACCGCTCTCTGCCCTTTAGACAGCTCTCCGACTTTAACTATCACTTCTACGGTCTTTGAAGAGAATTATCTCGCTCTGTAACTGATTTCGTTTTGCGCAGAACATGGCCCGCCGTTTTACAACCCTGCTTGCTTAAAAATTACTTTATCAACAACGTTTTCTTTTTTTTTATTCACCAGACGGAATTAAAAGGATTACTTTTATTACTATTTCCCTTTCAATTGAAAGAAAGATAAGACTCAACATGATTCATCATGAATCATTCATCAGGACAGCTACATCCTGCCGCGAGATATCGAGATTGCGTTAATTTTAGTTCTAGCTACTTACCATGGTCAAAGAGGAAACTCGTCTTCGAGACATTTGCATGGGCAGCTGGTGGTAGTCCTGGTACGGAAAATGTATAGGCACCACCAAAACCACTTCCAAACAATGGACCAACTGAAATAAAAAATTAACTAATAAGAAATATGTATTAATCAATAAATTAATTTTTGGGTTAAATTATAGGAGATGTAAAACATGAAATGAAACAAAGGATCCGAAAGAAGCGACGACGCCGAATATCGTCGAATCTTTTGAGGATGAATGTACTAGCGTTGGCCTGTCGACAAATCAGAGAATCCGACGCTATAAATCAATTAAACTTGCGAAGAGGACTGCATGCCTCACATGCACGGGGGCTCTCCTACCTGTTTCTTATATGTAAAAGAGAGCCCTTCCCTCTACGCTCGTCTTTACGGTTCACCGACAAGAAAGAACAAAAGCCCGACGACTTTGGGCTCTTCCAATAAAAAACGTAAAACGTTCGAAACGAAAACGCTTGAATCGAATCCGCGTCGGGACGCCGCCGCCGCCCCTCGAAATAATTCGGTTAAAAGCCGTTTGCGTTAGCTCGACGCCGACGTCTGTTATGAAGAACGACGTCGTCGCCGCCGGACACGTTCGCGGTCCCAAGAAGAAGACAAAGACGCGACCGGTAGCGGGAAAAAGTAGGTATTTTGAAAACAATCCGGGCATAAATAAGTTGTCCCGCTCCGAATGGAAGAATGCGGGATACATGTTGCCGCTTGTTCCTACACGCGAACAATGGTAAACTCGTGTTTATAGAAATAAATTATAGAGAATAGCTTCTATAAAAGTAACATTACCATTGTCGAATACCTTAAATACGTGTCCCGCAGATCTACGGTCTGCCCCGTTTGGTATTTAACGTGTTTGTTTCGGTTTTCTCCTGCGGTTGCGAAATATCGATTTTTTTATACTACGAGATGTGAACTTTCAATACCGCTTTGTCAACTCCAATACATTCTTTCCATTTCATTCGATTCATAAAATTAAAAGTCATTTATAAGAAAAATTTTTAATTTCTACTTTAAAGACTCTGAAGATGCACTTCTAAACCCGAAACTTTCTTCTTCTACGTCTAGTATATATATATTTTTTACACAAAAGATTTAATAAAATTAAGTGTATACAATTAATAGGATAATAGGAAGGAAAGATTTGTGTTAAATTTACCTGATATAAGATAATTTAACAAACGGTTTGGTGTCAAATTGGGTATGGTAGAACGGACCAATTAGGCGTTTATTTGTGCAGGGACACCTGTTTTCCACTAGACTGCACAAAATCGCTATTTGACGGAGTGCGTTCGCTCATTGTAGGCTGTGAGCTATCCGTGGGGTGACGGTTCGATGGGGTGACTTCTCCGCTACTTACTCCCTTTTAATCCGGGACCAACAACGGCAGCTTTCGGGAGCAGTCACAAATCTCGTCAGTAAATAATACATTCGCACCCCTATTCTAAACTTGGTCGCTTGTAACACTTTTGTGAACAAGCCGGAGCAAAAAAAGGTGTTAGATGTGTACATTGGAAGGATTAGCGTGAAGTCGTTACATTCTGCCATGAAATCAACCATCGACACGGAAAGCGTTGGAATAATAGCAAAAAAAAAGGTGTCGACCACGAAATGCAAAACCGCTTGTGGTGCGTCAAAATCCGCGTACAGTCCAATTTTGCGCGCTAATGTCCTGGGCTCAGTGTGGGGTTGTTAAAATCCGTTAACAGAAGGTAATGTATGATTTGTTATTGCGGCGTCGCTTTGCCACAAAACGGCTGCCGCAACCCTTCCAAAACCCGATGAATCACAACAACGCCGGATCGAGCCGTTTTCGAGATTTTTCGTCCGCTCGAGGGTGACGACACTTGATTGAGGCCGCGAATCCACCGACCTCCACCCCCTCGCCCATTAACAATTCAAATGCGGGATGATCCTGCCAAGACGGGATGAATAACTCTCTCCTTAACATGATCATAACACGGAAGACCCGCTTTTTTGTTATGTAAAAACGTTAGCACGTTTCACTCCCAGCAAAAGGGCAATAACTCCCCCCACGGTGGAGACGGCGACGTCTCTCGGACTTTAAGGGTCGCCAGGTATTACTAAATAACTGTATTCAACTCGAGTGATACTTGAGTGACGACGGTCAGACAGTACAGGATTTCACTTGATCTTTTTATTATAAAACAAAAATTTCTTATTTTCTTATTTTATTTAAAACAATTATAGAAGGTTACATCGTTAAGTTAAAAAAGTGTGAAATAGAATTAATTTAATTAAAAGGAATACGTTGATACGAAACGAAATTTATATCTACCTCCCCTTTTAAGGGATGGGGGCTACCTCGGTGTCGTTAATTAAATGGATTTATTCCTGATTTCTTTACCTTGTTAGCGCCGGGGCCGGCGCAAATTCAATCTGGAGACTTTTCTGTTTAATTTCGCCGAGTAGAGACCGCCTCCCGTATCGTCCATATCTTCGGGTATTTAAAAAGAGGGGGTGATGCAAAGTCGCCAAACAAAACGTTAACAAGCCAAACGGTGGGTTCAATTAAAAATGCGCAAATACTACCTTGTCACTTACGCATCGCGAGGTTTGTGTAATTGATTGTATGACCACCCCTCGTGTACAAGGGGGTGGCAAAAAATGACATGCAACGCGACGGGAAACGTAGAGTGCATTCGACGGCAAATGCGACAACTGCAAAATACTTCTGTCTCCTGCAAACTTTACATGGTTAAAAGTCAAAAACACGCCGTCCACAATTTTTATTATTTTTTTAAAATTCTTTTTTTTTTAAGTCGTCCGAGGGTAAGTCGCAATAAAGGGCCGGGATGACTGGAGAAAAGAGTTTTTGATAAGGGCGCCGGCATTAAAGGTGACCGCCTAATGAAAGCCTCTGGGGAACGCTCCGAGCGATGCTCGACCATAATTACCGCCCACCCTTCGTACTTCGCAGCTTCTTTAACGCGTTAAACTCATTGTGACGAAAAGAAAATTCCTCATTTATTTGGGGTAATAATTTCATAAGTCCGAGCGAGCTCGCTTTTAACCGCCTTCTTGAATGGATACTTTTAAATTAAAACCATTTAACATAACCGCAATATTTCGATAACGCAAAACTCACCCTAAGTTATCATAAAGATTACAATTTCTAAATAGCCAAGTATCAAATTTCTTTTTTTTATTATATCTCCTTTTGCATACTTTTACACACTTTTGCACATTTTTGCACATGCGTATTACTTTTTATTCGATATAGAAATGTTACTGCACATGCGCATTTATTTAACATGATCTTTTAAAAAGATGAAGAGATTTAATAGTGGAATTTGATCTTTTGAGAAAATTTTAATGATGTTACACAGCAAGAAAGGTTGTGAGTGGTAAATAGGTAGTTATGGTCATAACGGTCTTTTAATCGTTATTTTTAACGGTGTTTCGAAGAACGTTAACACATTAAGAGCGTCGGTGGTTCCTATTTTTACTTATTACTGTCAAAATGTTGGCATAAAGTCTATTGAGCTGCAAGTTTACGATCGCGAACCCGGTGTAGTTGTGTTTTAACGCTATGCTCTCGCTTTCAATCCGTATTTTACGGGGGTTTAATAAAACCGCGCTAGCATACAGTCTGAAGGTATAATTCCGTTTATTGGCGGTCGCGAATCGGCACAATAAAAATGAAAAAAAAATTCGTAGCGGTTAGGAGGGACGGAGTAAAGGAAATGCAAACCAGCGGCCGAGAAGGCAGATTGGAAGCACAAAGATAGATAAACGACAGGAATAAATCGAGCTATTGGTTCTCCTCGTTGACAGTGTGACAGCGTCGCTGATGGGTCCGACTCTACCCTGAAAAATAACGATATCGCCTGGGAGAGTGGAATGCCCGCAAAAGAAATTTACCTACGCCGTTCGACGATTTCTATACGGCCGCGGGACTTTGAATCGGCACAGTTACTGACCATGACGGGATGATAGGGTAATAAGCAAGAGGAAAGGTTATTTAAATACATGAATTATGTAGATGGCTACTTATCCGATCGGACATATTGATACTCAACCAGTTGTTATTAATAGTCTCAATTTACACACAATACTAAGGCAAAACTTCTGCTCCTGTAGACCCTGCTTACGTTTGAATACGATTTATATTGAAATGAACGTTTCTGTAATTACTCTCAACTCTACAACATCCCATCATATATTCGAAAATATTATTTCATTGCAGCTATTGTAAAATCTTCTAAATAAACAACTTGAGTAACATTTCTATTTGATTTTGATGCATCATCAGACATATATTCTGATAAGCAATATATTTTGTCATATTCCAGAATTACTGAATCTTGGAAAAGGAAAAAGCACCATTATAGATATTTCACTCTTCACTATGATGATGATACATGAAATTTATGGTTAACAGTAACACAAATCTTGAATTCTCCTTTCCAGCCGACTAATTAATACCAAAACTAACAACATCCCATCCAAAAGATTTTAGCTAAACCTAGAACAAAGATTTCTTCGGATAATTTTAGGGTGTAATCCATGACTTCGACCTAACGGGATTGATGTTATTAATTCCATATACATATTCGGGTCTTCTTCGTTGTATTCAAGAAAGTCTGGATAAGTATCGATGGAGCAAATTAAATTTGGTTAATTTGCTAAATGTAGTGGATCATTAATGGGTATTGGTGTTTTATCTTCGTGGTTTATAGACCTCTCTCCATTTCAATTAAAGACTTTGAGACATTTTTGTCAAACAGTAAGGAAGATGCGATATTTTGTAGCGGAAAAGCTAATTTTGATGTTGATGATTGCTTGTTGATATTTTAAACAGGCTTTGGCCCAAATCTGAATTTGCTGTGACATGTTCTGATGAGCAATGTATTTTGTCATATTCCAGAATTACTGAGCCTTAGAAAAGGAAAAAGCACCATTATAGATATTTCACTCTTCACTATGTTCACTATTTCTGAAACATATGTAGCACTGAAAAATAAATAAAATTGAGTAATCGTTGAACATAGTTTAATTATTTAATTGGCATGTGTGGCCAAAAGAATCTTGTTTTGATTGCATGAATGGTGGAACGCATTCCGGGATGAGATAAGCTATGAATTTTGTCGGAAATTACTTGTCTGAACTGTTGTGAAATATAAATTCTTGGAGATGATTATTGTCTTGTGATGTTGTTTGATGTGCCAAACGATAAGATTTTGAAGGATTGTTTAAAAATTGTTTATTCAGTAAGTTCGACAATTCTGTGTTAACAAGTTGAGCGTTGCTAAGGGTTAGAAAATCTGGATAAGATCAATTTAGAGATCCGATGTTTGTTCTGGATAGAGGTTCTGCGAACACATTTGAATTTCCTCTAATGTATTTGATATCTGAAGTAAATTGTGCAATATAACTTAGATATCGGGTTTGATGAGGAGTTTTGTGATCTGTATATACTGTAAATTGATTTCCATATTTGAAAAATTTGATGGCAGAGTAGATTGCTAATAGTTCTCTATCAAAAGTTGTTAAAATGTGTTAAATCATTGGACTTTCTTAGTCATCATATTTCAGCCGATGACATTCGACCTTCCCAATCAAGAATCACAGCAATAACACATTTTCAAAAACCAACGATTCTAAAAGAGTTAAAAAGATTTTTTCTTTTGACAATGAAGATTCTTATTATCCAGCACTTGGGATGATATTTTCTTCTTTGGAGTCTTAATTCTTTTGACAACTTTTAGGTAGAATTTTAGATTGAAAAGTAAAGTCTTAAAAAATAAAATTTTATACTAACCCCTAAATACTTTATAATGAATTACTAGCGACATATGTTCAAACGTTGCAAACCGAGGGGATAAGTAAAAATGGTTCGTATATTTGTCCGGTATGGAAAGTTGCGTCGGCAGCGGTAGAGGCGACGGAACAGCACGTCCCCCCATCACGCGGCAATTAGCCCGTACGTGTCCCCGCGATTTTATGGGACAATCCTACACACTCACCAACAATTCGACGTCGCCGGAATACAAAATTATATTTAAACTGTGCAAAACGCATAATTTAATCATTCCGTTGGATTTATGGGCGGTCGATTTTATTTCATTTTTTTTCGTTCACATTTTTTTTGTTGAAATCCCATTTTTGTTTTAATAGCATATGCGCAGTAACATTTAAGTATTGTACACATGGTATTGCGCATGTGTATAATTTCTATAAAATCCTGTAGTAGTAAAAAAAATGCAATTCAAGGAGACAATCGCAACGTGGAGGCCTCGGAGGCGATAAAAGTTTTACTGTCGCGTGTCTCGCGATGTTAATAAGGTCGAAATTGATTTCTCACGGGGGTAAGGGGAACATGTACGAAGGGAGACAGCGTAAAAAAGACAATCCCAGCTGTTCTATGTTGTGTCGAAGGTCCTTTCCGAAGTGTGCCCTGAGCAGGTATGCGAAGTTCGGTATTGAATGGAAGACTCTCTCAAAAGGTGTCACTAATACTTGACACCTACTGAGAACGCGCCGCCGTATACCGGAAGTTTGAAGAAAAGCGTCGGAGATGCCTTTAAACCGCCTCAATGCATTCCAAAGTCAAATATCTCCTTTCGAAACCCCTTTTCCTTAGGGGATTATTGAGACGTCATGTTTTTGTTTGATAGTTTTGATTGACTCCGAGTTAATTTATCCCAGTTAATTTATCTCCGTGATTTAGAGTAAACGTAATAACCGATAAATCGAAACGGCGCTGCCCGATTTTGATTTGCGACTCACGGCGAGGGAATAATTGCCGCCAATAATCGGGGGTCCTCTCTCGGTCTTTAGGTTTTTAATTTCGGGATCCCATTAATTGCGGGTGAGGATGATTTCTACACCAACCGAAACCCCGCGCGCGTCTCGATGAATTACAATTGATTCGAAATGAAAGTAATATATCTGCACTAGGAGGGAAGAGCCGTCGAACCATAAAAATTCTTCGAGGCGCGATACATCACCGATATTTCAATACGACCTATAATTTAAAACAATCCCTCTTCCAATCCTCAAACGTCCTCACCCCACCCTTTACCTCCCCTACAGAAAGGGAATGAAATATCCCTTTTATCCTATTTACACTGACACCTTTCCAACAACTGAATATTTCTATTTATAAATATATTTCTTTTATATATTTTCAACCTCAAAGTTTTACTAAATTTCTTCAATTTAATAATATGATAAACCAGATTAATCTTGTCAATCGTCAAACCAAAAAAAACCTTGTGATAAATTAGCATGGTTGTCTTTGGGTCGATTTATTTATTTAAAACCAGTTGGGCATTGTGTTCGGCGGACTGAAACAGGCTTTTTCCGACACGTCCCAACTGGTCTCGTTTCGTAAACGAAATAAACACCGCGCGTTAACAATACTTCCTCCGCGAACGGCTGCGACCATATGGAGAGAGTTACGGATCGCTCTCTCATTGATACCCTCTCTAAAAGACGGAAATATCAAATTCCTACTTACTGCGGAATCTTCTGCCGTCTTCGGGAGCACCGCCATTCATTTGTTGGTCGTTTTCTTGGATCTGCCCTTGAGGATTATCTCCGTCTTCGGAGATTTGGGCATCCATGCTTTCTTCTTTTACAGAACCAATTGTCCCTGGTTGTGGGGACATGGATGCGCTGGCTGGGGAACATGAGTCGGTTCTTGGGCTTGGACCCAAAAAACGTTCTTCTTGGGGTGAAAACATTCCGTGACCATGCCCGTGTTGTCCATGGACGGAGTCTCCACCCGTCTCGATTTTTAAGCATTTTGGAGGAGCAAAAGCCGATGGGGATGGAAAGGATTTAAGGTCGCCAAGAGGTCGGAAAGCTCCGGATCCCAAGGATAGACCTGGGTGTAAGAATTGCGGTTGAAGGTGATTGAGAATATGGGCGGGTATTCCTCCATAAGCTTCTATATGTCGTAGACCAAACCCCGATGCGGTGAACGGTCTGTGGAGGTCTTTGGACGCTTCGCTCATCTGAAACTAAACGCGAAATGTAATGCTAAATGGTGTTCCAATTACAAAACTGACCGAGTAACGCGACCGCTCATTGTAATAGAATTTTTTCTGTTGGCGACTTAATATTTATTTACCTGGGGATTGAATGGACGCTGAATCCTTAGGGCGTCCTGGATACCGCCGCCGGCCTGAGAAAAGACGACCAACGCCGGCGAGTTCAGGTGGGCGGCATTCGGGACATACGCGGAATTGTCCATTCCTGTAACCCGGAAAATAACGGCATAATAGCCATCAGCGCATACGCGACTATTTGTATAAACAAAATAAATCAGCTTATCGCGAACGCGGTGTAAATCATATCGAACGCCGAGTGATCCGGCCGATTTTATCGCCACCACCGCAAATTCATCAATATTTACAAAAGAAGACAATAAAAACGACATAATGTCCGCCTCAACGAACGAACAAATTCATTTTACAAAATTTTTAATTTATAATAACTATTTATTTAAATCAAAACTATTTCAGTTTATTAAATCAATCTGATTTAAAGTTAATCACAAAACAAAAAAATTCAAGAAAGTAATTTAGAAGAAAAATTGAAAATCATAAATATAAAAACTATATTTGAAGCTTTCAAAACTGAATATATCTAAAATTGTAATCGAAATAACATATAGATTTCAACAAATTAAGATAAAAATGAAAATAAAAGCTGTCATCATTAAAGATAGTGGTTTTGAAAATGTTTTAACTTCATAAATCATTTTTAAACTATCTATGTATGTTGTGAAACTTAAAATTTGAATTTATTTAAAACTCTTCAAACCTTGGCGACGGACAACCGCCTGCTCCTCAGACTGTTTTGACAGCGTTCTGCCTGTTAATCTCCTCGTTCATAAGGCACTGTCACATCCGAAATTAATCGACACGCTTCCGAAAAACTATTCGAAAAAAAGGTCGTCCCCGACGGCGTCCCGACGCTAAGTATTCGAAATCATTTCGCTCTTTCGAGCGAGTACCGCCTGCAGACTGTTCGTTTCGTTGGCGCTTTCTGCATCCGGAGCCACGTTGCTCTCGTTCCGTGCGCACGCAGCACGTGTTCCGGGTAGCCTCCGGAGCTTCGGTAGGACGTCCCTTCCCTTCTTCAGTTGCGCTTTTTGCATCTCCTCCTTCCTCCCCTAAAACCAGTTACCGTTTTAACACCAAGATTATTGTTTGTACAAAAAGATTAACACCTTGTTTTTTTTATCTCTTCAATAATTCCTTTTAAATACAATAAATTAAAATAATGTTTGATTAATTTCTTTTTGCTTATAGAAATTTTTAAACTTATTTATCCAACTTTATATTATAAAGTGCAAGTTGCTCGCGCCATCTATCAAGCTCCAAAACTTTTGAATTTTATGAAAAGTTTTTAAAAAGGCAAATTTAACGGTTTTAATAGTAACGGATAGGTGGCACTTTTCGTTTTGGAAATAAATCATAGTTTTTGTTAAGATTTCTCAGCGAAAAATGTTTATTGTTATTCTAGGTTGGATAAATTTTCTTTCTAATTGATAATTCGACGTATTAACACCATCTGTTGATTAACTTCTTAACTTTTTCTAGTATATCTAATCAATAATCATAACTTTTCCATCTCTAAATCCCTTATTAGATAGGCAACCAATCAATCTTATCTTGCAGCTAATATTTCATTCTTTTTGGATAAGTTTCGGTGTTTTTTTTATTTTAGTACCTCGTCAGGGTTCTTTATAGATTTAGTTTCGGAGAGATCCACTCTTGCAGCATACACCATATTATCTACAAATCCATAATGTATTAATTTTGATTAGTACTATTACTAGAACCAACACTAGATTTAGAACTAGAAACATTCGGGATTAGCCGTACGTCTTTTAAGACGGCTAAAGCCGAATGATTCTAGTTCTAGATCTAGTGATAGTTTTGCTTTTAATTCAATTTCCATGAATTGGACGTGTTGCAGCCAATTACTATTTCATCTTTGCTGCTCAAATTGTGAAAAGATCCATAAGACACTTTGATGATTATAGTCACAAGCTACACACATAACTAATGACCTGATTAAGCAATTTTTAAATGTTAATATAAAACGAAATGCTCACCGTGGAAACTTCCTGTACGAATTTTATTCTTTTCATGAAGTCTTGGAATAGAACTAGTGTCGGGGTTGGATGAATAATTTGTGTGTTGTTCCTAAATTTCTTTACATCAGTTTTCATGAAGTTTTTAATCCATAACAATATCGAACGTTTTAGACCTGAAACAATTGAATGTTGTAACAATAACCGTTAATTTTGAATTACCACCGCCATCTCTGAATAAGTTGCTTAACGAATATTTTATTTGAATCAAATATAACTTTATAATTTAGAAACTGTTTCCGAGATGCCGCTACATACAAAATTATATGTTATAAATTCTCGGTTTAAAGTTCCATTGAGAAATCCAGATGTCAGTGTTGATTGGGTAGTTGTCTGTGTAACACATGATTATAAAGCATATCAGTAGATTCACGTGATCTTAACGAAATACTTGTGACCGTACAGTTCCTTCAGAAAAGCCTAAAAACATGGCTTTAAAGAATCAAAGTTTGCTTGTAACATTACTTGGCCTCCTTTTCACGTTTAGTTTAGCTGTATCCAGTGAGTTTGTTCCCGTTTATTTGTGGCAAACAGGAAAGTAAGTGTCTTCGAAATTGTACCACACCTACCAAAAACTTGTAGTACCTTTACATTTCTGATTATTATTTATTACAAATTTTAGATCAGGTGAAAGTGTGCCAGCTTTGCCAAAACTTACAAGAGACAATTTCGGGGAATTAATACATAATCGTTTAGACGAAAATACTATTCTTGTTACGTTTGCAGAACCCAATGTAAGAATTGCATTTTTTAAATAATTCTGCTTTAATTGGGTTACTTTTATAGCTAAGTCCAGAAGATTTTAATGCTGTTACACAATCAGGTGAACGCGTTTTTAACAGCTTATCGAATATCAAAGAAGATGTCAGTACAATTTACCTCCCACAAGTCCAAACACCTGTAAAAGCAGTTTTTAAGTTCTTCGGCGAGAACATCACCACCATTGCAGCTGAAGATTTTAAAAGTGAAGATATTGAATCTTCCGCGATTATCATTGATTTAAATGATGTTCAAGATGATGAAGATAGAAATCATATGCTTGCAAGACATGGTGAGTTAATTTTTTTTTGGGTCATGTGATATGGGTTGGGTTGGGTTTTGCAATAATTTTTTTATTTTAGATAAAATTATTGTCGATATTTATGATCAATTATTAAAGAAGTACAAAAATGTTGTTGCTTTATTCACTGGAAAACAAGCTTCTTGGGTAAATATACTTAATCATTGAGGTCTCATTAATTAATTTTTGAAATAATTTAGGTTGCACCTCAAGAAGTATTAAGTCGAAAAGTAAGAGAAATCCCAGCCAATGCTTGGATTGTTAAAGATGCGGATTTCAAATTTTTGGCATACGCAACTGAAGCCCCCACTTTTAAAAGTACCATATTAAATGAACTCACAACAGTTAAAACTGAAGTGCAGGGTACAACATTAACAGCAACGATATCAGGGGGAAATGCTGTTTTGACGTAAATTTAAATCGATTAAAATGTGTAATAAAATTAAATTATTTTTTTGTTTTAGATTTAAATTCGGTTTTGATCCAACTTTGGATGTGGGAACTTATTGGTATTTTGAAAATGTTAATCTTGTGTTTAATGGAATTACCCACAACTTCACGAAAGTCTCCAACAAAGTTTATCCACCACGTAGATTTTCGTATCAATGTACATCACAAGTTTTTGAGACGATGGGTGGGGATAGATTGAGCTTTAAGAATCTTCAGGTAAAAAATTGAATCAAATCCTAATATAAATAATTAACATATTTTTTGTAGATTCAACCTTTCCAAGAAGCTCAAGATGTAAATAATTTTAAATTTGGTGATGCGTACTTTTGCGTTGGTTTTACAAGTCCTGCAATTTGGTCTGGGATTTTCATAACATTTTTGTTGGCAACGATTATGGCGATTGGGTTGATGATGATGATGGATATGAAAACAATGGATAGGTTTGACGATCCGAAAGGCAAAACGATCGTCGTCAATGTGTCGGAATAAAAATTTCGATTTAATTGTGAAGAAACGAACATTTTTCAAAATAGGTGGTGATGAAAAATGTCCGCTTCGTTTACTAGTTTAGTAACGCCTTCCGTGTTAGCGCAACAACTCATATTAGTCAAAAAAACGCACTAAAACAGGGTGCAGGTTCGGGTACGATTGCAGGCACAAATTGTGATATTTAGAGCTCATTTCGTCGCTTTCAAAACCCGACCGAATCCAATCTTCGTCTACTATTACTAGGAATCTGTGACAATAGTGTTTTTTAAAACTGGGACAATGATTAAAAAAATATTAATAAGAAAAATGAGAAATGTTAGATTATTATCGTTATAAATTTGGAGATTTTTCAAGAATCGTTAAGGATTGCGCTGAATGTAAGGGGTCGTTTTTAGAATTGTTATAAACGTATTTGTTACACTTTATGTTATTCCTTTTAATTTAAAACAAAAATTAGTTACATTGTTGGATGTCATTAAAAAATAAAAACATTTAAGTATCATCGAAAAACCACCGAAAAGTTTATTGTACATACGACCAGATTTTTAAAAAAGCATATTTTTACTCTTTCGTTTTATCACTTCATATTATCAGTACTGTAACGAAAATATAAACAGCGTATCTTATCGCCAAAATTGGAAGCAAACATATCGAAAAATGTTCTAAAAAATCTTAAATTAAGGTGGCGGGTATCCATTTCTACAGTATTTTGTGTAATACAATTTGTAAATAACTGTGTAGGTACGTTTGTTTCGTAGATAGGAAAAATAATATGTTGCCAAAAAATTGTAAAATTAAAAATATGTATAGAAAAATAAAACGATAGAAATCATTAAAAACTTTTTTATTTTATTTCTTTTCCTTATTAACAAATAAATAATAAAAAAATTGTAATTAAAAATCCAAATTTTAGTTCAAACCGCCATCTATGAATTAAAGCAAAAACTCCCCATAAAAGATTTCTTGAAATCAATTTCATTTTTAAATTCAAACTAAATCCAATCCTTAACATCCTCAAAAAGCATCATTTTAACTCAACTTAGTTAATTAATAATATCACATTATTAGTAAAATTTCGCAAAAATTGAGTTGTAATTCGATCCCTAAATCATAATTAGACCATATTCAACCTGGTCATGAACGAAATTGAAATTTTACGTCTAAGAATATGGTTAGTCATCGCAATATTTGATAACAAAATTATCGAGGAATTTTATCGAGAATCTAACTATTCTCATATTAATTAGTTTGTATTTTTTTTTTTTGAATTCACTTTTTTTAGCGGGTTGTCCAACTCAAAGTTTCTTCTTCAATCGGTCTGCGCATAAATACCTTTGGTGGTGCTTGAGTGACGTTTGGGAATCACCGAAAACGTGAGTACTGTAAACAACGGTGTCAGATGTTGTTCATTTGTCTTTCGGAACGGAACGTGTGGATTGTTTGAACGACTTCGTTTGAATGACTCGTACTCAGTTTTAAAGCTATAGCACGCGATTAGAAATGCATGTGGTTGCCTAACTTTAGTTTGGTTTAGTTTGATTTGTACTATTTTTGATGGTTTAGTTCAGTCTCGTGTTTGGGCTCCTCGAGTCGTTGGGATTAGTTGTCCTTTATTTATTTGTGTTATGCCACGAAAATATTTAATGAGTTCTTTGCAGCACACGGTGAGTATTATTTAAACACGTATCTGATCCAAGTACATTCCATGCTTTTCTTAGACTCAAATGTTGATTTTTAAACAATTTTAACTATCAAAAACTTAACACAAATATTAGTAGTAATTAACAAATTTGTTATAGATGAGTCAAAAACGTGTCCAAGATAAACTGTCTTCCTCAACAGACAGTGATGTGACAATCATTGATTTAACTAAAGATGACGATTCAATTCCGGATGATTTTGAATCAACTAAAATAATTGTGATAAATAATGGAACTTCCACGACACTTTCCAACGCTAGCAGTGTAGATTTCTTCAGTTCTACTGACTTATTTGATTTCAAAAAATCTGATGATCTCAACAAATCTAAGAAATGTCTAACTGTTCATGATTACGATATTTGTATGACGCCAGATCCGTGGACTTACATGAATCCAAGAGTTAATATGGATCATTTATTTATCAATAAGGAAGAAAATGCAAAAAAACCGTATATACCAGCTAATTATGTAAGTATGTTTTAATATATTGTTTTAATTATTAAGATTTAGTCGCAAAAGTTTCCGAAGGTTATACAACCCCCAACAAACGATTTTTTTTTAGTTAGCAAACCTTCTTCATCTTCTGTCTAGGTTTTGTGATTGTTTATCAAGTTAATCGAACTGTATAACATTAATTATTACAATTTTGTGTCTACAATTAATATTATATGAACCCAAAAGTGGTTCAGAACAGTGCATGTAAGTCTTCTTCTTCTCTTCTGAAGTTTTTCCTCTCCCAAGCAAGATCTTTGAGGTGCTCCATAGTCTTCCCTCGGCTGGCCGAAATCTGCGTCACTCTCTCTTCCCATGTTATTTATCTCCTTATGGGTAGCCTAGCCTCCATGTATATCCGTGGTTTTCTTAGTTTTTCCATCAGTTGTGGGGAGTCCCTTTCCACTGTAATGCTTTCCAGACCTCTTGCCTTGGCACCATATCAAACGCAGAGTGCATATCCAAGAAAGCCAGGTATGTAGATTTCCCTCTGCTGAAGTAGAAGAAAAATGAGATCTTGTATTTGTCGTCTTGGTCTAAAACCCGCCTGCTCCTCATCCAGTTCTTCTTCAAATGCAAGACGAGATTGCTAGCGTTCATTCATTATAACTGGTTGGCCAGTTTTGTGTTTATATGATATTAAATATAGAGGCTCGCCAAAGTTCTAGATTTTTAGCCTTAAGTTTAGCCGAGGTCCTTTGGTCGTGGTAGCCACTTCTGAGTGCTCATATTAATTATAGAGCCACGCACCAATTACTTTGTACATAAAAAATTATGATTTTTATTTTTTAATTAATTCTTATTTTTGCAAAATTTATGTTAGGACACAAATCCTCTTCTTTTTATGGAGAAAAAGAAAAATAAGAAAAACGAAGGTACCAAAATTACAATTAAAACCTTAATCGAAGAAGTTGTTGATACGAAACCTAATCTGAAACGAAAACGAGATCAAAAAGGTATCCTCCCAGAAGAGCGTAATAAAATAACGGAAGTAACAACACCAAAAGTAATAAAAGGAGATTTAAGGAATCATTTGAATGCGATTCACAGTAAACGAGAGAAAAATGTGCATGTTGATAAAAAGGTTGAAAAAGAGCAGAAAGGAAAAATTACTTGTCGTGATTTAGACGAAGCTTTAAACCTTGTTTTTGAAGATATGCGTATAAGGGACCCGGAAGGTTTCAAACTTCTTAAAAAAACTCCCAGCCAAAAAGTCACAGAGAGTGATGTAAAGAAATGTTTAAAACCTATCTTAAAAAATCTGCTTGCAGCTAACCCTGAAGATGCACCAATCATCATTGATTCTTCCAAGCCAAAATCATCGCCAAATAAAAATTTATTATCGTTTCCACCTTCACGAACCGATCCGATGGTTATAAACGCTTTATTAAAAAATCCAGGTGCTATCTTGCAAATGTGTTGGTTCCGGCATTGCAGAGTAGTAAACGATTTAAAAGGCTGTGGGGAGTGTTATCTCACTTATTGCTATAAACACGCTCCAAAAGGACACCATGGTTGTGCCAATGAAAGCTTCGATGTAGCTTCTAACTTTAAACGGTCCGGAGCTGAACACGCCTCACGTAAAGTTAGAAGTTGGGGGCGTAAAATTGATCTTAAGAAGTATTTACCAGAATGTGAATGCATGGGGTTGTGCATTGATTGCAACTTTTTTTATCAGTACATTCGATTTTTTTCGGGATTTACTACTATTGTTCGTAAAGAAGGTAATTTTTTTATTAATTTAATGTTTAAAAATAATTTTTGTTAATTTCAGATGAAAGCATGAATTTATCATAATTTTTTAACACAAATTAGCAACTAAGAAGAAATATTTTTGTTACAATGAATGGCGAAAAGAAGTTTTTGTTTATTATTTTTTTTTTAATGTTAGTTAATAAGACCAAAGAAGAGTATTTTTTTTATTACGTTCCAAAACTACTTTAAAAAAGTGATGTTCCGAATAAATGTTTATTTATGATAATAAAAATATATTTTGTAACGTTTTTGATTTAAATTTCCCGCGCGTTGTTGCGGTCGAGATTCGCGATAAAATTAAGTTGCGCATGCGCGAGTACAAAAACAAAAGGCATCTACATAACAGCCATTTTAACCTCAAAAACGCGAAAATCTTGTGTGTGTGACTATAACAACGACTTTTTGGGCTCAATTAAGAAGGTTGGTACAAAAATTATTTTAAATCGCGAAATACTCCTTTTTATTGTTATTTTCACCGCAGTTAAAGCATGGATTCGTCGAATAATTCCGATGAAGCTCATTATCACTTTAATAGTGACGCTCCAAAACGAAAATCGCGTCGTGATAGCCCCCCAAGCGAATGTAAAGCTACCAAAAGTCGTAAACGATCAATTTCGCCGAAATCGAATAACACAAACGTTTGTAACGAGTTAGTTCCGGTTAATGAGACAAAACCTGTTTTGGTAGACGGTTTTCGCGATTGGGTCAAACATTTAACAGGTACAGGAAATAATACGGTTGATGTTGCTGTTACTCCACAATTAAGGGGAGCTTTAGATGCATCTAAACTTAGAAGTACAGTTTTAAATTTGCCCAATTCTTCGGGGGAGCCGAGATATATAACGATAACACCTGGATCTTCAGGCGAACCTAAACAGTTAATATTACGGAATGTAGTGTTATCCAAAAATGCGGGCGAATCTAGCCAAGTTTCACTGGCAATTTTAACCGTAGCTTGGCCCCAATCTAATTTAATAACAACAACTGCCGGAATGTCGGGGCAACCTGCAAAACTAGATGATTTGTCTCGCCTTGCAACGTTAGCAAACTTAAACTTACCCACGTCTTCAGGTAAATCAACCCCAATAACATCAGTGAAGACTTTAGCAAATCTCGAGACTTCAAAAGGGCCAATGTCAGTTAATGTAATTCGTACACGTTCAAAAAGAGCTATGTCAGCGGTGAATGAAAATCATTCAAAGAAAACAATATCACCAGCTGATGTAAATCCTGAATCTTCAAAAGAAGCAATATCATCGGTTAATGTAAATGTTAGACGTTCAAAAAGATCAATGTTAGCAATAAATGGAAATTCTAAATCTTCAAAAGAATCAGCTAATGCATATCCTAGACGCTCAAAAAGAGCAATGTCAGCAGCAAATGTAAATTCTTCTGAGACTTTAAAGGGCTCAACACCACGAGTATATATAAAGCCTTATTTACCTTCAAGAAAACGAAAAACACCTGTAAGTGTACAACGTGAATCATCAATAAATGTAAATTCTTCTTTACTTTCGAAAAAATCGGAATCGTCAGAAAATGTAAATGTTTCTGGACCTCC